CAGGGTGTACAGGAGTGAACGTTTGCTCCGGGCAACGCTCAGGATTAAAAGAAGACCTGAGGAAAATAGAAAAGCAAACTAAAAGCAGTCTGAAAAGGCATGAGGAAAGGCTGGTTTACAAAAGAGCTGATGTTTAAACTCTGGCAAATGTCACATATTGCAGCAAGAGCCTCCTGTGGGAATATGGCTCTGCTAGTACTGATTTGTAACAACAAATAGAGGTATTTGCAGCACCCCAAAACTGAAATGGGAAATACGGTTGTTGGAGGAAATGAATTGCTTCTGTTTGCTTCAACTGCAGCTAAATGTGCGAGAAGTGGGAGTATATTTTTAGCAAAACCTAATTTGAGGTAGAAAAAAAAACCAAACCCAAACCTGGCAATGCTTCAGGACTCTGTATCTCTTGGTTTTGTAAGTCTAGAAAATTGTCAAAGTAAGTTTTAAAATGGTCAAGGTAAAGCAGAAAACTGGAACTTGGAATTTCGAAAACTTCGAAAAATTTTGTGTGACCTTCGGATTGGCCTGAGCAGATCTAAAATATGTACGTTGAGCTGGTGCTTCACCAGAGAGTTGTGAACTCTGCAGGAGAGATGAGGGGAATTTTGTGAGTGTGCTTGCATGAAAATGCCGTTACCCCATTTGGGATGGCTGAACTCTGGTTGAACCAAACTGCTTCAATCTGATCTTATAAAAGAGCAAAGCATTATTTTCTCTATTGCTGTGTATGATGCTAAGTTGAAAAGATATGGTGAAATATCGTGTTTTAAATCTTCTCTTCACCAGAAATATTTAATTTTTGCTTTTGCAACCGCTCTCGCGTCCGTAGGGCCACGGAGGTACAGCTGAGAAGGAGAGGAAGAATGGGAATAACTGGATACCTAAAGGCGGATTGAACCATAACATTTACATTTCTCCCTTATCTGATCTGAGGGTTTTGCAATTGCTGGGTTATCAACCTTCCTGCTCGTCCACGTGCTTGGGTTGGACAGAGCAAGAGGAATGTGGATCCCTCGTTTCTCAGCGTCGCTCAACGGACTTGGTTTGGGAATTCACTTCTTATGGAATTTGTGGTGGCCCCCCCCAACCAATTTTAACGTGACTTTTGGGCATTTGGTATCTGTGGTTCTTTAGAAAGAAACCTCATTTCTTGGTACTTCACCATAAGAGGGAACTATTTTCCGGAATTTTAAGGGGAGGAACGAAACGGCTACGAAGGAGTTTTGGGTCGTTGCTGCCGTATTTCCAGCGAGGGAAAGTGCCCTGGGAGGGTGTGACCAATTTGTTTGAATAAGCTGTTCATAAGTTTCCACTCCAAGAGACCTGTAATCCTTATTTAATCAAATGTTGTCATAAAGACCACTTTTTAATTCCTCGATGGGCTGGAGGTGACGTCTTGAAACAGAGCTCCATTTACATTAAAAATATGCATTCTGCGGTAGAGCAAGAAAAATAAGGCTTTCTATAATATTTTGGAGTTTCACGGTGTGTTTTCCTTTATTTTATATTAAGTGACAGATTACTCCAAAAAGAATAAGTGCTAGATTCATAAAAATATATCTGCATGAGGTCAACTGCTGCAGCCTGGGTTGGAAATGATCCTTGGGGAGGGCGATTTTTGGGAGGCAAAAAGTTGGAAGCCTTAAATGCATTATTTTAATTATTTTATTTTATTTTTTTTTTTTTAGATCATTCAGAACTTTGTGTGTAGATACATCCTTTAAACTCATATGCCAGAATTTCTGACCAGTGACACCCAGACACTAGGGGCTTACAAGCAGGATTCCCAATAATAGGATAATTATTGCTATGGATTATAGGCTTAGTTTGATTATGAGATGTTTGATTTCCAGCGCTGGAGCAGGGATCATCCCAAACAGCGTGCAGAGAGCAGCCGCCAAAATTTGTGGATAATCCCACAGAATAAGGCACAGAGCGCTCACAGCCCATCCCTGGAACGCAGCATTCCCTGGAATGCACTAACATTGAGGAAAGACAGTGTGTAGTTACGTGCACCAACATCTGCTGGCGAGCCAAGCGCTCCACAGCTCAGAGAAGCTCAGCTCTGGATAATCCCAAACACACCTTTGTATTCCCGCAGCGTGCCGGGCCGTGGGGACGGGGATGATGCTGAGCTCCTGGGCCACCTCTTCCATCGAGGAGGTGGCTGCAGCAGCCCCGGGGGGCCTCCTGTGGCTGCAGCTGTACGTGTACAAGGACCGGGAGGCGACGGAGTCCCTGGTGAGGCGGGCGGAGCGGGCCGGCTACAGCGGCATCTTTGTCACGGCCGACACGCCCTACCTGGGCCGGCGCCTCGCCGACGTGCGCAACAAGTTCCAGCTCCCTCCACACCTCAGGTACACACCCCCTGTGGGATGTGGGGTGTGGGGTGGGCAGCTTCAACTCTTCTTTTGCTGGAATACAGAAACACGTGGCTATAAATCGCTCTGAATTCCCCGTGAGGGCAATTTCTACCCCCCGCAATTCTCTGTCTCAGAATTTGTGGCCTCATGATTGACTTCAAGTTCCTCCCCACTGCAGGGCCTGTGAAGCATTCAGTTTTAACAGAGTTCAATGAGCTTTTTAACCTTAAAATGGTGTTGTCAGGGCACTAATTTCCCTGGCCTTTTGCAGATATAAGTTGGTAGACTGTACAGAGCACCCTGATAAAGATGTGCCGAAGTGCTGGCGCAGTTTTAGCAGCCACAGGTATTAGCTGGAAGAGTCTTTAATGGATGGGATATCCAGGGCTTGGAGATCAAAATCTTGTGAGAATCTTGCAGGTAGGTCTTGGTAATGACTGCAGCTTGCCGTGGTGTGTGTTAAGATTATTCAGAGCACACAAATGAACACAAAAATGGAAAGAAAACATGATTAAAGGATAGGTGAAATTACTTTGGAGCAGATGAACTTGGATTTCTGGGTGAAAGCTACTTTTGAATATTATCAATGCAACTGAATTGCTCTTCCTATGTCTCCAAAGACTGTTGTGTTATGCAATATATGTAACATGTACCTAGGAAGAATCACATCCCCAGGTGTCTCTCACCTTCTATTTGAATATTATGGAAAATAAACCATGGGATTCTGTGATGAGTCTGATTCTGCACCTCGCAGGCAAAAAATCCTCCAGAGCTTGGGGTGTTGGTTGTCCCCCTTACACTTGTACTTGAAGCTAAAATATGATATGATGAAGGCTGACAGAGCAACCTGAACTCTGCCTCTATTTTTGTGTTAAAATACAACCTTAGGAGGAAAGCAGCAGAAAGAAAAAAGCCCTGGTACATCCAAGATGAAAATGTACCACACTGGGATGTGCATGCCCCATATTGTGATCCTGCTGTAATCTGTGTTTGCCATAACACCATCAATACACGCTGACATTTTACCTAAAAAAGAATTAAATAATTCTTTAAATAGCTTATTTTTTATGGGTGATATAATTTTAAAGCCTGGGGTTAGAGAGTTCCTGAATGTGAGTCCAATGACCCCAAAACATTTGAGGGAAGCAGTGGAGGGTTTCTGAAACACTTTGACCCTACCTGACCAAACCATACGGAGGTTTGGAGTGAACTGGATGAAATCCCATGGAATTGGAGCAGCCCTTAAAGGTCCCAATGAATCTCTGCAGATTTCAGGGCAATGCTGGGCCAGGTTTTGTTGCAGGGTCGGTGGCGAAACCCTCCTAGCGCGGGGCTCTCGCTCATTTACGTGATAACTTTTTCTTGGCTTCAGGTTTTCAACAAAGTTTCAAAGCAACAACAAGGTGCCATTGTGCTCTGAAACGTATGTAAGGCAACATTCATTCAAGTGTTGATCTGCTTTTCCCAGGCCAAGAAAAACAACAGTTATTTATATAATCTTATCCCTGGTTCTGTTTTTCTCTGGGTACCCCACCCTCCACAAACCAACAGCTGAAAAGCTGGATCTTGCTGGGAGCCCGCTCCTTCCTCGTTTGCTTCTGGGCCTGGAGCTGAACAGAAAAGCCATGTGAAGTGCTGCTTGTTGCAGGCATGAAATCAGCAGTGAATCCAGCCAGTTTCCATGCAGAAAACCTCCTGCACTTCCCAAAATGTGTAATATGAGTATTAAATAGCCCAGTGTGGTTTCTGAAGAACAGAGCAATCAGCCTCGGGTGGGACGTGGGTGTCCTAGAACCCGACTGATCTGGGGCTAAAAGCCTTAAATAATAGCTAATGTTTTCATATGAACTAATTTCCCCCCACACACACACGTTTTACCAGGACATGAACAAAAGAGACACAAGGTGAACTGGCTGCATGTTGGCCTTGTTGGATGGATGGAAATTCTGAATTCTTTGCAAGGCTTCGTGCAGATCCACCTAAGTCATGGAGCTTAACAAAACTTCCCTTCCTCCTTCTCCCCTCCCACCTACCTGATCCCCTATTCCTCTAGTAGCTGAATTCCCTGGATTTGAAAAAGAACCAAAACCAAACCCTATTTCTTTTGCTAGAACTAGGACTGTTGCCTTAGGCCGGAGAACCTTGCACAGAATCATCACAGAAACATAGAAAGGCTTGGGTTGGAAGGACTTTAAAGATGAAATGCTTATGTTGGTTATCCAATGCTTTGTCAGCCAAAGGTTTTGGCTTGCTAAGGACTGGGATCTGACACGCTGGGATTGGCTTTTTTTGCTCCTGCCCTGCAGCACAGCAAAGTTTTATCACAGGTATATTGATTCAGGGCTACAATGGACCTTTCTCAGCCTATTTTTTCGTTTCTTTTGTCATTTTAGATTAAAAAACTTTTCCAGCAGCGACCTGGCGTTTTCCTCAGGGAAAGACTTTGGAGAGAACAGCGGGCTGGCTGCGTACGTGGCTGAGACCATTGATCCAGGTCTCAGCTGGGAGGACATCAAGTGGCTTCGGGGGCTCACCTCGCTGCCCATCGTGGTGAAAGGCATCCTCAGGGGTGTGTAGGTTAAGGGGATCCTCAGGGGTGTGTAGGTTAAGGATCCTCAGGAGTGTGTAGGTTAAAGGGATCCTCAGGGGTGTGTAGGTTAAAGGGATCCTCAGGGGTGTGTAGGTTAAGGGGATCCTCAGGGGTGTGTAGGTTAAGGATCCTCAGGGGTGTGTAGGTTAAGGGGATCCTCAGGGGTGTGTAGGTTAAGGGAATCCTCAGGGGTGTGTAGGTTAGAGGAATCCTCCAGAGTGTGTAGGTTAAGGGGATCCTCAGGGGTGTGTAGGTTAAAGGGATCCTCAGGGGTGTGTAGGTTAAGGGGATCCTCAGGGGCGTGTAGGTTAAGGATCCTCAGGGGTGTGTAGGTTAAGGATCCTCAGGGGTGTGTAGGTTAAGGGGATCCTCAGGGGTGTGTAGGTTAGAGGAATCCTCCAGAGTGTGTAGGTTAAGGGGATCCTCAGGAGTGTGTAGGTTAAGGGGATCCTCAGGGGTGTGTAGGTTAAGGGGATCCTCAGGGGTGTGTAGGTTAAGGGGATCCTCAGGGGTGTGTAGGTTAAAGGGATCCTCAGGGGTGTGTAGGTTAAGGGGATCCTCAGGGGTGTGTAGGTTAAGGGAATCCTCAGGGGTGTGTAGGTTAAAGGGATCCTCAGGGGTGTGTAGCTCTGCTGCTTCCAGTGGGGATGTGAGGGAAAAGCTTTCTCTTCCTCCATACCATTAAGAAGCCAGTAATGAAGACACTTGTGGAAGCAGCTGATTAAACCTGTATCTGAAATGTGATGCAGCCAGGAAGATTGAACTTGCTCTGTTTAATTGTGTCTGCAGACCCTGACCTGAGTTGATACAACTTGAGGGAAAGCTGGATTTCCATTCAGTCCAAAGAGCACTGAGCACAGTGTAGTGGTTTCATTAAGTCTGGATTATTACTGTAATCGTGCCAAAAATTTTGGCTTGGATGAAATCATTCAGCAAAATAACTTCTTAGTGATGAGTTCTAGAACACAGTAGAGAAAATAAAGACTAGCAACCCAAGTGGCTGCTGATCCGAAGGGATTAAATGTTCTCTAACCTTTCAAACTACTTTCTGGTCTTATTGCTTCAAAATGAAACTTTTTTCTGTGCTGAGGTGAGGCTTTGGAAGGCTGAAGCCCCAAGATGGCTTTGCATTAGCTGGCAAGAATTTTTTTAGGGATCCCAAAATTCCTCTCATCCTGTTGTCAACAAGCTCCCAGGTATGGAAGAACATAACTAGTTTGGATTTTTTTTTCCCCAGCTGATGATGCTAAAGAAGCTCTAAAGATTGGGGTAAATGGTATCCTGGTGTCAAATCACGGAGCGCGACAGCTCGACGGAGTCCCTGCAACTGTAAGTACTGGGGCCAATATGCATCAATTAGTCCCTAATTTTCTATGCCTTTGGCTTGTTTGCTTTCTCTGGAGGCTGGAGGGAAAACCTGGAATATGTGTTACCTGCCTTTAACCCATGAGGGACCTCTCTCCACTTCTCTGTGTGTGTCACACCATGCTCTGAGTTAGACAAAGCCTCCCCTTGCTCAGATCAAATTGGAAAACCCTTAAGACATTTTTTCCAGTCCCTTCTTTCATGTCTCCTTTCCCATTCTTGTTTTGAAAAACTCCTGTTGCCATTTGCAGCACACTGAAGGTTGTATTAGAGT